GCCTGTGTTTCATCGCCATCTAGTGGTGGTTTAATTCTAACAATGCTCGGAAGATTTGTTTATGGTTGTAAACAATATTTGTTCAAATAAAAAAATAACAATTTTTGCATGATTAAGTACTGCAGTTTTTCTTTTTTTACTATATATTAATTTTGAAAAATTAATATTTTAACTGAGTGCAGTATTTTTTTCTATGCCAGACGTATCACAAAAATAAGATATCTTATTTAATTTAATTTTATTTAATTTAAAGTGCTCAGTATGTTATATGATCATCTCAAAATCTTCAAGAAAACACGAAAGAAACTATTGACTTAATCTTTAATCTTTAATCTGGTAATCACTATAAGTTAACTAATTTGTCTTCGTGTTATTTAGGATTATTTTAAGTTTGTATTTTATTTACCAAAATAAAAAAATTAAGGGAATTTCACATCAAAGAGCATTATTCACTAAACCAGATGCCACAGATATTCAATTTTAGGTCGAAACAGCTCACAAGGTTGTTGTATAAGGGATTTTTCAAAATAGAATTCATAGTGACTTTCAGCTACATTCTAATATATCCTAAAACTTCTGGTGTGTTTAATACAATTATTAATGCATGTTAGTTAAGAATTTAATACCGTATTTTAGTCACTCCTTTCCGAGTAACTTTATAGCTTCTATTATCAATAAAACAGTTCACTATATCTGTCCTGGTCATTGAATTCTGAAGTCCTAAAGCTACGCGTAATGATCTCTTTACTATGTACAGGCTCACACTCTTAAATCTTGAAGAAAAAATTAAACATCATAACCAACAGAGCCTATCCACAAGTTCACCTTCATTGTATGTTTAGGCTTTTACTGAAAATTCAAACTTTTGCAATTTTAAAGATCGAATCCAGTTCTCTAAAATCAAGTGTTATTTAAGAATTTTACTGCCGAACGTGTGAGACGCCTACATCGGCTCGATTGTTAGAAGGCTGAGAGATGGTTTATAAGAATACTCTAATCCTAGGTTTAAGTACAGCTCAAACATTATTCGACATGAACTAGGTGGATGCGATATGGATCCATCCCCTACCATATTCAAAGTAATCAGTACAACTGAAAACGAGGTTATGTTGCTGGTGAAGGAGACGATTCTGATTCTTCAAAAGAAGTCGAGTTTATACAAACAAGAAAGTGGTACTGAAATTTTATTCGTAATTTAGGAATTTAGATTTGACATAAACATTC